CTACTACTACTATATATATATATATATATATATATATATATATATATATATATATATATATAATCAGTTAATAATCTATAATCCACATGAAAATCATTAATGGATGGAAACTGCATAGGTTACGATGGAGAGCGATTGATTAGCTAAGAATGATAAATATTTCCTAGTCACAAAAAATGCTCACAACTGAATAGTCACGAACTCACTTTTTGCACTGCTAACTATTACCGGAAGTAAGATTGCAAAGATATGCCAAGTATATTTGAAACTTGTAATCTACCACTAAAAGTTATGAATAATTTGATGAAGCAAGCCATCCCGCGTATACCATGGTACAACCTTTACTAATTGACGGTTGAAAGGTTGTTTTATGATCCAAAGAGAACGAGTAACAATGCTAACAATAAAACGCAACAACAGCGTGGTACAAAATGTAAATATAGTTTCCAATGAAATGCTTGAAAACTATGAAACTTTGCCGAATTTCCAATGTAAATCTGATCAAGTAAGCAAAATACGACACTTGTTTTTTTCTAGACAGTCATCAAAGACAATTACAGAATCAAAAAGCAGTTTTTATACCTCGATAGAGAAGATATACGACGCCAGATATGGCTATAGGAATTAGAAAATTACTCCACGTTGAACTGAATATTATATCTATCCACGATACAGCATTTTTGGCGTTAACTGGTGTGGTGAACGAGTTTGTTTTATCGCCCGCTGTTGCATTCGCATCGCATAAATAACCAATCAGATATTCTTTAGTCATCGCCACAGCATCGCGCGAATGACCCACGTCTTTGAAACTTTCCGTTGCATTCTGTCCAGCTTGCTCCAGCAATACTTCATCGCCACCTGGATGCTCTTCCAAAAACTTTGTTACATCGTAGACCTACGAAAATAGTTAAATTAAATGACAACAACTGAGAGTTATGCTAGTTAATCGGCGAATAAAACTAAGGAGTTGTCAGTACCAATCGAGAGAAAACATCAAGTGGCTATAGCATTTGAACGTTTTTAAAAACCAGTCAACAAATCTAAGAGTCAATATAACTAAAGAGCTAAACTGGAACTTGCTCCGACAGTTCCTTAAATGCCGTGGCCTGAATTCAAACCAAAATATAGCTAATCATCCAAAACCAACGTTATTATCAATGATTAGCCACGTGGACGAAGCATCATTATGCGCAGCAACTTCTGCAATTGTGTATTGCTTCAAATCTTTCTTTTCATCAGTCATCTTGGCATTGAAGTGTTGCTTAAAACAAAACAAGCTATAAAAACCACACCGATGGCGACTGGTTCTGCACCAAAACTGAAAATTTTGCAATAGAAGTGAAAGGTAACGCATGTTGACTGTTCACGTGAAATTCGTTTGGTCCTCTATGCAACAAATGTTCGAATTAAGCTGCAACAGATAGTGTAAGGATAAAACGTCATGAGAAATAAAGTTTCATGATAAGGTTGGACAGTCCTCTCCTTTATAACCTGTTTATTTATCAGAACATTTCTAATTCAAAATCTTATTTGCTATTATTAAGAACTTCCTGCATATCACATTTTAGTGTGATTTCATATCAAAAAACACAGCAATTTCAATATGCCATTCAGTGCAGCATGTTTCACATTATACAACGTCAGTCGACTCATCACAAGAAGGAACTGTTGAAAAAACTATTCGAAAAATAAGATGATTAGGCTAATTTACTTGTAGTTCCTAGAGCAGGATTTTTTCCTTTTTTTGATGATAAGAAATACAGCACTAAAACTGTTCACTATCCAAAAAAAAACAAAATTTTGTTCAGGGAATCAAACCCATAAACAAACACTACAGAATGAAAAAAAAGACTAGGCCGAAATAATTTTAATTCAACTCTCACAAGCGTGAAAGAATAGGAATAATATTTATACTTGAATTCCGACAAGCTTTAATGCTAATAAATCCTTAATGAATTTTTGGACGCAACCGCATTATTGTTAACACCGCAGGATGCCAGATTAATGATTGGTAAAGCTTCAAGGACCACTCAGTTGCAATTAGTAAGAAAATAACGATGTTAACACGCTATGTTAACATGTCATAGCGATACAAGTAATATTTATGGAAAAATTTTCGAAGGTAATCCTCAACTTTAGCACTGCTTCGAAGCAGTCGGACAATTTGAGATTCGATGAACTGAAAAATCCACGGATTTGATTTCAAGATGAAGATAAACACAACACAACGTCAAGATTATTTGTACGGTCAGTAAAATGAACCGAACAGATATGCAAAAATTTTCGCCTGAAAAAATGGGCATTAAAATCAGAAAACAGATGTTAGGCAGTGTTACTGCATAACAGATATTTTATTTGTAGATGATACTGCCTGAGCGTAAAGTGTGTATATTTATTAACGTATATTGCATATCACTTAGTTGAAATATAAAGTAAGAACAATCTACAACATAACAAATTTCCAATGGTTCTAAATTTTTAAATATGCTTCAAGAACGCAAAATAAAGCGTATAAATCACTTTTGCATACAAACACTACCTCATTTTCTTTAAACGCAGCAGCCAGGAAATAGCTTTATTTCTGAAAGTTAACGAAAATCCTATGCAAAATAAATGAATCCTGACGGGGAGAGCCTAACATCTTTAAACAATTCCTCTATGAAAATTCAGTAACAGCAAAAGTAATACTGAAAATGGAATTCATGAATCATCATAAGTCTTTCATTATAGTATTAGTATATATCTGGGAAATTCTGTCTTCCGCAAAGAATAGCAAAAATTTCCACAGTTATTTTAATCGCTGAAATTTAACTTTTTGAAACGAATCGTCAATGCATAGTCACGGCCTCTGTTCAAAAATCATAGGAGAAAGGTATAACAAAAAGGTTGCATCAATTTCGAACGACGAATGCAGAATTGTGATATCACCAATGGTAAAATGGTGAAAGAACAGAGAAAGAAATAAAGCATTCAGTTCTTGGGATGGTATGGCAGATAAGCACGAGTGTAGTAAATTGAAGATAACGATACAATAACAAAGCTGACATAAGCGTTGAAGACATACACAACATCTTTCGCCCATAATAAATGACAAATCAGTAAAACGTCAAATGGAAAGGTTTATGTATCGCTTGATGATTACTAAAAAGACAGTGTTACTTATAAATTTGGGATTTGTCCTGCTGACAAACCGTCCAGTCGTGACAATGTCGATGGAAGTCGGCTCGCACAAAAAAAGTACCAGCCCTATTCTGGAATTGTATTTTATCTGATAACATAGATAACATAGCTGTAACCTCAAATTTTCTCAACAGCACTTTTGAAGGAATTATTCATTTTCGTAAATTAACGAAAATGGATAATTTTACCTGAATCGTTTAAAATTATAAACCTATCTACACAAGTAAAATTAAAATACTATGGAATTATTACAAATTTGCCTAATTTAAAAATTGGAAATGTGAAATACTTTATTTGAGATGAACATTACAAGAAGACAACTATGAAAAGTATGTAAATACAGGCACTCTACGTGAACATAATTAATCAATGAGAGTGTAATTAAGCTTCAATGCTATTAAAAACGGAATTAATTCACATGAAAATTAATAAGGAGTTCAATTAATTTATATAAAGATGATCATCAATGATTGATAACCTATATGTCAAAAAACATATCCTTAGAACTTACAGCATAAATCCACAATTTTTTTCCCATATTATCATGGGAGACTGAGTTTAAAAGCCACAATGCAAAAACTGAACGCATCAACTTGTTTTACCAAAAAGAACTTCCAAGAAAAACATTTGAAGAAAACTATTCACATTATTGCTGAAAGGTTTTTGATCAAAGCGATAAGAAATGAAAACTAACAAAAAATCCCAAAATATCTGGTGTTAAAAATATGTTTTTTGACTGTGTAAAGGCTCCACATATAATTTGATCACATTTAACACTTGCATAAATCAGTCTTACAAACTGATGACAGGCTACGAATGAAACCGTACGCATTGTAAGGAAGAAAATATAATACAGTAGAAAAACATGCGATAAATATTTAGTAGTTTGTAGCATACGAACCGTATTCGTATGATATATGCAAAGAAATATGCCATAAGTAAACACAAATATAGTGATCGATCCGAAATTTTTCAATATTTAGTTCAGTTCGAGTTTTTCACAGTCTTATCTTTCTTTTACTTCACTTGGTTTTTTTTCTTTTTTTTAATCCGTATTGACATGGCTGATTCACTATTATTATTAGGAAACCTAGTATTTTGGAATATGTGGAAAAATGTATAATATCAACAGACATTACCCACAAACACGCTCACAGATATTGGTCGAAAGGTACAAGAAATGCCTCTCAATCTGCTAGAGGAGAAATGAAAAAGGAAAATAATTTAATTTCAGAAAACAAGAAATCCAAGACATTTAGAACACGTACGGAAAGTCCCAGAAAATATTCTGGTCGTATCTGCATTTTGCGCAGACTTTCTAGAATCTAGGATAATACTTGGAAATTTCAACTTTCAAACGCTGATCAGAAAATTTTAAAGTGAATGAAGGAACTTATCCTCCGATAAGTTTCTTCATTCACTTTAAAATCCTCCGATGAAAATGGTAAACCACCACAACGACAGTCCTCTGCACTGAGTTTCACATAAACAAATGTCATTGAGAAAGTTGCAACAACAGTTAACATGATCAGGAATGCAATGAAGAGGACGTAATAAATAACGCATGATTCACGACCCCATACCATTGAAAATATATAATAAAGTTATACTGACACTACGCTAAAATCTTCCTAATTTTTTCCAAAATTAATATTCATTGTAGCTATGCTATATGCAACATAGCTACAGTAAATATTACATTGAACTATACGAAAGAGATAATAAAAAAATAAAGTGTTATTTGCAAGATCATAAATTTAAAAATTTATTTGAACTTCTTTCGGTGAATTTCTAAGAATCGTAGAAATCTAGAACAATTCCTAAAAGCTGTCAGTGCACACTCTCAAAAACATAATAAAGTTATTTTAATTGTGTAATCGACCCTTATGAAAGATTGTCCTCTCACAAATTTCGAATCTTGTTCAACAATACGAAAAACATAAACCTGAACGATAAGTCCAAAAAGCAGAATGGTAGCTGAGGTGGTTGTTTTGAACACGAAGTGGAATATCTTCGTGTACTGCAAAATTTTTGCCTAGTGGATAACCAACAAAGAGCCAAACAATCCCAATGCAATAATAGTTGTACAGAGCAGGGCTTGTGCAGAACCATAGACCCAAGATAATAAATTATTCAACATTCATATTAAAATTATTGGCACTTGAATAAGTTTGTTGTAACGTTCGCATTAACGAGTCAGTTCTTTCCTCCAAATTCCCGGTAAATATAAGCTGATATAAAACTTGCTCTTTCTACAAAATGAAGAACAGTGTTCTGTCCTTTCAAAAAGGAGAACAGTGTTTTTTCTTTTTCTTAAAGGAAAAGCATTCTGAAGGAAAAGCGTTCTGTTCTTCAATGAATCCCAGATAATTATGAATTCGGATAGTATTTAAAATCTTAAAAAACTGGGAACCTTAAAAAACTTTTGATAAAATTGAAGGGACGAAACCAAAAAATGTACAGAATGAGGTGAAGAGAGGTGCATTTGCAGTTCGCCATTCATGTCCGCAATACTGAAATGCCAATAGTAAAGAATGACTAATTTAAATGAAAGATTTCCAGCCGTTTATCTGCTTATTGCTCTGAATGTTCAACTACCGTGATATTTTTTTTGTAATATTTTTGATTACCAACAATTAATTAGAGATAAAAATTACCCTCCACAGCAGCTATCAGACCTTTCGATGTGATCTAATATTTTCCGCAAATAGAAGTTTTTCCCTGCTGTCTACAGAAATGTAATAAATACGGCGATCTCGCTATCCTGTAGCCGCTTAACAGTTCCCCCAGCCATAAGCTCCTGTGAACTACCTGAAATACCGCTAAAAATCTACTTATAACCGAAGATTTAATCAAAGTTGGAACGAGGGCGCGCAGAATGTGCTGCCTTTTGTCTAAATGTTATTGAGTGGTGTTGTCATATGAAAAGGAAACTATCTCCAATATGAATGAAATATCAGACAACGGCAAAATGCAATCACTAGTGGTCATTCGGAATACTATTACATTATTCAGAAGAGAAATTACGAATTTCCAGGAAATTTTAAACGTGGAAAATCTATGAAAAAAGAAATTTAAAAAACGTTATCGACTGGACTCACGAAAGAGAATCATAAATTAGCAAAGCACACCATAAAGGGATAACAAACGAACTATATCATTGCTGGAATAAAATCACGTATTTGTTCCAATTGACGTATTGTCCAGTAATAATTACGGGAGAACAACACATTTTGAATTCCAATTCCAATGGAGCAATATGTTATACGATAAAGGCTGGTACACATATTTTACAAAAGCATAAGAAGCTATACATTCAGTACGAAACTTTTTAACGATTTGAAGAGAGTTAACTATGTCTTTGTCATCCTCTAATAAAATTAAAAGTTTTGAGAAAAAAATATGGGTAAATCTGGCTATACAAGTCAGATATGGATAAGCGAAATGATTAATAAACTATAAAACGATGAAACAGTAACACACAGAGAAACGACCCAAACTTTAGATCTTGGGCGAGAGACAGACGACCTATTAGGAATACATAAAGGGCATTGTTTTCATTTTTCCACAGTTTAACAGGAGATTGGGATTTT